GGGAAATGGTTTTAAACTAAAAGAGGAGAGATTTAGGTTTGATATTGGGATGAAATTGTTCCCTGTGAGGGTGGGGAGGCCCTGGCACAGGTTGCCCAGAGAAGCTGTGGCTGCCCCTGGATCCCTGGAAGTGTTTGATGCCAGGTTGGAGCAACCTGGGCTAGTGGAAGGTGTCCCTGCCCATGGCAGGGGGTGGAACTGGATAAGCTTTAAGGTGCCTTCCAACCCCAACCACCTTGGAATTGTGTGATATCATTTAACTTCACAGGGGCATCATCAATTCTGCCTTCACCCACAAAAAACCTCTCTCAAGCTCTCACAGGTCCTAGGATAAAAGGTGATTTTCTACCAGCCATGGAATTAAATCCTATTGGACCTATTTTTCTGCACAGTGGGGGCAGCAGGGCTCAAATCCCTGTAGCTCTTCAGGCACCATTTTCCTTAAATCTGCTTTCTGGCTTTATGCTTTTTAAAAAAAATGATCATAAGGTTTATTCACATGCAGAAGCATCTTTCTTCCTTACAGTTTCTTCTCTGCTCTCAGTACAATGGAAAATGCTTTTATATCTACATGAATTTCCATTTCTTTGTAATAAATGTGCTTGCTCCATTTTGATTCCTGCATCAATAACAACAGTGCTGATGTCGAGGATGACAGCTTTTACTTCACTCATCATAGAAACAGCTCTTGGGCCAGGATCCATAACAACTCCATTTGATTTTCACAAATACCTCTTTTTAGTCCAAAACCAGAGTAATATAACTTCTGTGAATTAGAGAAGGCAGGAAATGCTGTGCAGTTTGGCAAATTCTCACTGAAATCTCTCTGCTGCAGTCGGACCTGATTTGCTGGAATACAGCAAATATTAGCATATAACTGTAGATTTTGAATATCTGTATATGTAGTCTCAGACCAAGAATGCAGGAATGCTGGCAAGTGTGAATTATTGCCCATGGAGGAGCTCTTGTCTTTGGAAAATATTGATTATCTTGGCCCTAAAAACTTCCTGACACGTTCAGAAAGCGTTTCTGAATTATGTTTGGGGTGCCTGGTTTCTTGCTTGAGGTACGTGGGGATTTGCTGCACTTGAGAACAGTTAAGTGGCCCCAAAAATCTGTCTGCTCTCCAGGCCTGCTCTGCCTGAGAGGACCAGGCAGAAGGGCTTGTTGCCCAGCTCTGCAGCTATGGTTTTAAGGGGATCATTGAGTTCCCCATCCCTGTACTCAGTAGTTTCTTTTCTTGCGATCTGTTGTCGGGCTGGTTCCCAGGACAGCTGCTGAGGGACTTGCTGCAGGTGTAAAGCACAGTCAAGATTCATGTTCAGCACTTCAGGGATGTTGATGCATGACCACATGGACAGGGACATGCTGCTGTCCATGAAAACTCTGCTCTTGGGAAACAGGGGGCCAGAGGATGCACAGGAGCCATTTAGCTCCCTCTCAGGTTTAGCTGCTTGTCTTTGGTATCTGTGTTTTCTGTGCATTCCTTAGGGGCAGGGGATCACCTGGATGTGAACTTTGGGCTGAACACCCCCACGTGGTAGGGAGCTCTTGGATGCTGCCGTGTGAAGTGAAGCCCCTAAGTGATAACTCATGTAAATGGAGATGTGTATATGCCAAGGTAATGTGAGATTTGGGATAATAAACCTACACTCCATCACAGAAGGAAAGATCACTCTGAGACTTAGAATCCAGGAATGGTTTTGGTTGGAGGGAATCTTAAACATCACCCAGTCCCACCCCCTGCCACGGGCAGGGACACCTTCCACTAGCCCAGGTTGCTCCAAGCCCCGTCCAACCTGGCCTAAAGTGGGTTCAAACTGGGTGGTTCAAACGGGGCTGTAGACGGTTCTCCAGCAGCACATGGTATAGCTCTGCTTTCTGAAAGGGCAGTGGACTGGGGATAATCAGTCTCTCCAAGGACTCACTGAATATCACTGCAATAGGAATTGCTCTTACCAAAGTGAAAAGCTTTAACTTAAAGGCAGGAGAAAACCAGCTGAGTGACAAACAGAAAATTAAGACACTGACTAATATTTTTGGGGGTCAAAACATCATTTGTATAATCCTCTGTTGCATTCACCAGTGCTTCAACAACCTTGTAGAAAATTAGATTAATAGGTGTTGATTTTACAAGCGCTCCACTATCTGCTGCCTTAAAATCTAATTCTTTATTCCCCCAAGCATTTTCTTATACCTCTGGCTTTTTAGTAATGCTGTTGCTGACATGGAGCTGCAGTGCATGGGCAGCAGGTGGGACAGCAGCACTGCTGCTCTCACAAATAACCTGCTGCTCTCATCTCCTGCAGCCCGCTGCAATTAGGCGGCTTCTGTTACTAATTGGTGAGCAATCCTGCCGTTCCTTGCTCCTGGTCCCTCCCTCCCTCAAAAGGAAGGCGTGACACAGATAAAGGTGGGGCTTTGCCAGCTGAAGTATATCAAAACCTGCCTCCTGGAGCTATGACTGCAGTAGGATTGCTGGGGCATGTCCTGGAGACTTTGGTAAGTCTGTGGTACGTGATTAGACATTGGATTGTTGTCTGTCCTTATGAGTAGAGACTTTGAATTCGCTGGAATTGAGGTAGCGCTGCATCTGGAGTTTGGCAACATGCTCTGCTTTCTGAGAGCTTTCACACAAAGCCAGTTGTGGGATTATGTTAAACGCAAATAGTGGTTCCATTTATGTGGGAGCTGCTTTTTCAGTTGCGGACAAGTTTTTAAAAGCCTGTTTAGAAGTCTCTTTAGAACTAGCTGGTTTTTGTTACTTCTCTTTCTTTTTAGTCACCTCCAAGCTGAAGATTTCCTTGGAATATGCTCCTTCAAGTGCTGTGGAAGTCACAGTATTAGCCTTTACGTTTTAGAGGATTATTCTGGTGTTTATCTAGTGGCTATTACTCTCAATATGTGTTACTTTATAAAGTTATGCTTTAATGCGTTAAATATCTTATACATTTAATTCAGTGGGTTGGAAAAGTGATAGAAAAGGAACCGTTTGCCTGTTCTGTGGGCTGCAGCTGTGTCGCATCTTTTAAGATGTGTGTAATTGCTGTGTTATCTCTAACACTTGTGGGGTTAATGGGCGTCGTTCCCTGATACTAGCCAAACACTGAGCTATCAGTGATGCTTTTCAGAACATGAATTTAAAATTAAATCCCATGTCTTCAGGGCTTCTTTGCCATCTCATAGTTTTTTATTTGCAGCACGTTCATTCTTATCAATTCTGCAGCGAGGCAAACTTGAAATCCTGCAGTCTTTGGAATTAATAATTTAATACCCTTTCCTTTTAATCTTCTCTGTATGGTTATGTCCGTAGCCAGTTTCCTGGCGTTAAACTTATGAAACAAACCAACAACGCAAGTAAAACTGTCAATAAATAAGTTCCATAAGTCACGACCAGAGCGTAATTTCCCTCCACGGAGCTTTTATCTGGAATTACAGCTTTGAAAACATCTTTACACTGAACATTAATCATATGAAATGATAAGAATTGCTTTCTGGGTTATTAAGAAATATGTCTCCCAGTGCACAGTTGCCAGTATCCTCCAGCCTCAGGTTTCCATCCCTATCAGCTGCCAAGTCCCAGTTTCCTGGGGTTTCTTGCAAACTGTGCCTGACAAGGTGTTTTTTTCATGTCTTTGTCTCCCCGATGCTTTATTGCCAGGTTGGAGCCTCTCTGGGCCCAGCCATCCATTCTCTTCACTTTCAACTTTTTGCCTTTTCTTAGGTTTAAATCACTCCTATCCTGTGCAGAAGCTGGGAAGGAAGAAGAGGGGTTTTTCCCATCACTTAGCAATGATGGAGATCCCAGGCAAGCTGCAGAATTTGGGGGAAGTAGGTGAGGGTTTCTACCATGCACAGTAAACAACGAGTCAGTCATGCTCCCCCTCAGCACAACATGATTTTCAAAGGATTTTTAAAATAACTGTAAAATATAAATATATGTCGTTTTGTGGAATCTTGCCTTTTCTTTCTGCTTTGGGGGTTGCCCACATCACACTTCCATCATCTTATTTACAACTGCAGCTTCCACAGCCTGAGCCATTCCCGCTGTGTCAGGCGCCCTGAGGAAGTTGTTTCACACTTGCCGGTTCTTGACTCTCAGAAGTTACGTATTTACAGGGGGATGGCTCAGCAGGGCGGCAGGACGAGTATTTCTGTGTCTGGGAGGGATGCTCTGTGCCATGCAGTGGCAGGATCACCCCAGAGCACACAGCCAGAGGTAAAGGCAGGAGAGAAAACAGTGTTGGAAGGACAAGTGGACTCTTGAGTTCTCCGTGTGAGCTGGCTGGCAGCTTTCCTTTCAGGAAAAGGCTTTTTCCAGTATTATTCAGAAAGCAACATGAAGGGAATGGAAGTATTTGCAGTAGAATAAGTACAGCCTTGTTCTGTGCTTTGCTGCAAGTGCAGTGATGCTCCTTCGAAGACGGTGAGTTTAATACAGGGATGTTTTTTAGAGGGCACCTGAAATCAATCTGCTCCCAAGGGTGACTTCCTAACTCTTGGATCCAGTATCCAGTCCACTCACTCTTAGGACTGCACGTGTTGACTGTGGTTGTTCCAGGCTGGACAGACCTGTGGGATCGCTGCTCAGGTGCTGCTGGAAGCTCCTGGGTCACTGCTGGGCCGGGTGCTTCAACAATGCAGTTTGGTATCTTTGTACTCCAAATGTACCCGAAAATCCCCTTTCATTTGTAAATACACTGGGTTAGGTAGTACTCAGGTGCACGAGAGCCCTGAACAGCCAAGTCCTGAGCCCTGAACAGCCGTCAGAGACAGAGTTGAGATTTGGGCATGAATTGAGTGGGGTGGCATATAAGGTGTGTTCCTCTCTCAAAGGATGTTGCCTTGGTGTTCTTTTGGAGTGGGGAAAGAAAGAAGGAAGTCTCTTTGAGGTATGAAATAACAGAAAGGATTGGTTTGGAATGTTTTGTGTTTTAAGGATTGATGTACTGATTAATTCTGTATGCTGGATTGAAATAACCTCTGCCTTGCCTTCCCAGGGCACCAAGTGTCCTTGCTGGTGTCTGGTGATAGAAATCTGCTCCTCCGTCCCCCCCTCTGCCGTGCTCCTCCAGGTTTCCATGGGCACCATGAGGCACCGAAGGAATGGCAATTTCGAGAATTCCAGGCTCCTGTATTCCAGCATGTCCCGCAGCATAGACGTGGCCTGCAGCGATGCCGTGAGTACCTGGTACCTCTGCTGTCCTGGGAGTGGGACGCTGTGGCTGTGACTTGGGTCGTGTCAGGAGCAGGACGATGGGTTTGTCACTTCTCCCTTTGTGGAGAGGTTTTCCCAGCCAGTGCCTTTGGAGCAGGAGCAGTGATTTTGCTGACATGGCGAATCTCTTAAGGAGGTATTGCCTTCCTTTTGATCCCTGTAACTATTGTACATCCTTAGTCCCTCCTGGTTTTAAATCTTTTCTCGTGTTTCAGAGAGATAAATCTGTCCAAGGAACCACGCCGACCTCCTGAGCAGCTTGCTGGCGAAGGCAGACAACACAGAATTACATTAAACACCCCTTTATGCCTGAATGATTTGCTGATGGCAGCAATTGTCTTACAGATTCCCTGCTCCTGACCGGCTTGCAAGAGGCTTAATGGCTGATTCTTGAGGCTTTAGCAAGTGCCTCCCCCTCCCTTTTATCTTTTTGGTCTTGCACCGTTGTGACTTCTACTGGTTAAATACGTTCCTTTCAGTTTTCTTTGTTTTGGATATTATACTTCTCATGTTTTTTTCCACTTGGAATAGCTTCCTCTAGTTGCCGTTTACCCACATGTGTTGTGTCAAATTGGTAAAAACTGTGTCTTCCCTCTTTGTCCTGAGCTAAATCTTGCCTTGCAAATCCAAGCAGTGCCTGAAAACAAACAACCCCCAACCCTTTATCAGCAAGTGAGAATTTCTCTTTGCTTTGGTAGCTTGCAGAGGCAGGTTAGGGATGAATTTGCATTCCCTAAGTGTGAAAGCTTCCCCTGGGCTCCTGGAGTTTCAAGGTTAATAGGAGTGTTAATGGTTAAACAAGCTGGAGAGGCTTTGTATTCCACTGAGCTCCCATAAAGCATGACTTGAAGTTGTTCAGGTCTCCTTCGCGGGTCTTAATGTGTTGAATTAAAATTGCCTCTACCCTGGAAAACGTTGTCTTTTTTTTTTCCTTTTATTTTTTTACTCTTGGGAAGAACCAGTGTTTGCTGTACTGTTTTAAGTAGTATCTTGGTTTAAACTGACTATGCTGTCTGCTACTGAGGTTTCTTGTGTTTTGTGAGTTATCAGAAAGAAACTTTAAAAAATTATTTTCCAGGATTTGGCCAACTTCATCCAAGAAAACTTTAAGAAGAGAGAATGTGTCTTTTTTACAAAAGACTCCAAGTCAATGTAAGGAGGTACTTTTCAATTGTTTTGCAAGGCTGGGGGGCTGGGAGCTGAGGGTGTTTGTCTTCTAAGGCAGGGAGTAAACTGCTGGCTTTTATTTGATGAGAAGTGAATTCAGCAGTGCAACCACACCTTGGTCTGGTTCCTCTGAGTTACTCCATAAACAACTTGATGCAAAACCATGGGTCTGACCTTCCAGCAGCTTTGTCACAGGGTTTAATATCAAATACCCTATTTGAAGCATAACTGTAGCAATGTATAGGTCTCTTTAAGGATGCAGTACTACTATTGGTCTGTAACTATGTATGTATGTATCAGAGGTTTGCATAATTGAAGTTTTCCTTTTAAAGCCAAATCACAAATTTCATGCTCAAAGACAGCAATGAAAGAAAATTTACAGCAAAGACAGACAATCACTAGGTTTTACTCAGGCTGATGTTCTCTTAAGACAGGATATTATCCTGGCTCCATTTTCAGCCTCAGGTACCCGTGCAATGCAAGTTTGGGGACCATAGCCTTGCTTTCATGGGTTTTTTGGGTTTTTTGTAGTCTCAAGAGAAAAGTGATCAAAGTGATGCAGCTGTAGAAGTCCTAATACAGAGCTCTCAGGGCTCTCTAACCCCATTCTGCTCTGAAGCTGGGAGGAAAAATGCCTCGGAGAGAGCAAGGGAAATGAGTCTTACTTCAGAAAGTCTTACTTAGGGTCCTCCTCTGCCACCTACAATGGGGTGTCTGGCAAAGGACCAAGGAAGGATAGAGGAGCTGGTTCCTCCCAGCTTCTCTTCCTCCAAGCCCACAGGGAAAGGGTTTCAGAACTTGCTGGTTTATTTTTGTCTGTATATTTTTAAGGTGAGCTGGTTTGATTTGCAGCAGAGTGCAGGAAGCCTCTGAAGGAGAGAGGCAATGCCCCCTTGTCCGTGCCCTCCGAGGGAGCAGGGATGTGCAGAGCATTTCATGGATGGTGGTGCAGCTTTTCCTAGGAAAAGTTCTCCCAGCTTTCCCAACTAGTCCTGCACAACCACTTCCCAGTGCTGGGCAGAAGCAGGTTATGGGGAAGGAAGCAGGATTAGGTGCTTTGTCAGGTGGCAAATCCCAGTAGCTACAACTGGTTCTGTAGCTCTGCCTGTTGCTTTCCTTGCTGCCAGAGCTCACTTCTCTGTGCTCAGGATAACTGTGATTCCCTGGCTATTCCCTCTTTTTCAGGGGAAACTTATGTAAATGTGGATACCCTGAAAACCAACACATAGAGGGCACTCAGGTTAACACCAGTGAGAAATGGAACTACAAGAAGCACACAAAGGAGCTTCCTACCGATGCCTTTGGGGACATTCAGTTTGAAAACTTGGGAAAAAGAGGCAAGGTAAGTGGGTGTATTAGGGATGCCCATGAGGCCGCTGTTGGGTGCCAGTGGAAGCCCCAGGAAAGCAAGGAAGGCGAAGGTGAAGTGGGTTTTAGCCTAATGGAAGGAGTTAGGCTGCAAAGGAGACAAGCTGGTTTCTCGATCCCTGAGAAAAAGTAATAAAGAATAACTTCTTCCGTGCTATTTGTTGCCTAGGCTGGTGATGGGAGTGAAAAGAAATTATCTGTTGCTGGGCATGGCAGGAGAAAGGGTGAATGAGGGTGATACTCTAGTATTACTTTACATCCACATGGACCAGCTTGCTCAGGCCTATAAGCATTTGAATGTGGAGTATTTCCCAGGGTGGGGATCCAACAGTGACAGTAAATTCTGGAGGGATGCAAGAAATCAGTGGAACTTGAGAGGTTTTATTCTGATTGCTGTTTTTTTCCTCTGTGTTTTTGCTTGGAGTGGAGACAGTGGAAGGGAGTGAGAGGGGTGGAAAGGAGAAAGGAGCTGGTGTTGCTGTTTGTCATGATTTATGCTGATACTGCATGAGGAGTCACATGTGGCTGAGCTCATCTGCCTCCTAAAAGACTGATACTTCCCACCAGTGCAGCTTGCTTGAGACACTCAAAACAAATGAGGAAAATCAGAGCCCACTGTGTAAATTAATTGGGTTTGTTTTATGCAAAGTAGCAGAAATAGGAGGCATTTCAGTGGGAAATAAGACTGAGAGTTTTGAATCACGCTTAGACAGAGCTGAATACTTCAAATGTTTCTTGATATGCATATTTTAGTTTCAATACTGTGTTGTAAGCTGCTGTGTGACTTTACTGGAAGAAGAAATGTGTCGCCCTATTGCAGTATTTGAGAGTTCTCAAAGCTTAAACGTTCTTTCCTTAGGTTGTGTCCCCCCTTCCAAACTCAGAAATCAGTTTGTGTGCCCACAGTTGTTTCATGAGGACTCTCAAGGCCACTGTGCACGTTTCAGAGCATACTCTGTTCAAGGCTTTTGTCTCCAAATCCATCCCATCAGCATGTTGGCTGGAATCACATTCCCTGTTTTCATTCCCTACCTAGCAAGGCACCTGCTACTCTTAGAGATTGCAAAGTATTTCTTGTTGATCTCATGCACAGTGGGCAGAACTTCAACCCCAAGGTGACCTAAGAATTGCTGTCAATGATCAGTGAGGGATGGGAAGTTTTATAGCCTGACTGGTGCTTTTTAGGAGAGATGAGTCCTAAAAAATTCTGATCAGAAATCAGATGTCCACAGACCCATAAACAGGTTTCAGGACAGGCTGAGAGAGCTGGGATTGTTCAGCCTGGAGAAGAGAAGGCTCCAGGGAGACCTTGGAACCCCTTTCACGGCCTAAAGGGGCTCCAGGAGAGCTGGAGAGGGACTGGGGACAAGGGCCTGGGGTGACAGTACAAGGGGGGATGGCTTCCCACTGCCAGAGGGCAGGGTTAGATGGGATATTGGGAAGGAATTCCTTCCCTGGCAGGGTGGGGAGGCCCTGGCACAGGTTGCCCAGAGAAGCTGGGGCTGCCCCTGGATCCCTGAAAGTGTCCCAGACCAGGTTGGATGGGGCTTGGAGCAACCTGGGCTAGTGGAAGGTGTCCCTGCCCGTGGCAGGAGGATGGAACAAGATGTGCTTTCAGGTCTCTTCCAACCCAAACTATCCTGGGATTCTATAAAATCTCTGCCCTCAGTAAGTCCTGCTTTCGAGCTCCTTGTTCCTGCTGTGCTGCTCGAACCCTGTAACACCCAGGGACATCACAGTTACTGTGTTTTATGTTCTGGGAGCTGTCAGTCCCCAGAAGGCTTCTCTGAATCCTGGCCGTGGTCAGGAACAGGATCCAGCAGCACCAGGAGATGGCACCGTTGCACTGTGGAGAAGGGAAGTGGCTCACTGAGGGGCTCTGATGAGGTTTGCCTTGGGTGTAGTTTACTGGCTCACCAGTTAAATATACTGGTAGCCTCCACTCTCCTAGGGGGGACCCTCTCCATAAAAACACCCAAAGCTTTATGTGGCTGAAGCTTCTCAGAGCAGAAGCTGAGGGAGGCCCTTAGCTCTCCTGTGTAGGTGCTGCAGCCTGCCAGTCACCCTCTGTGATGTTCTGTTCTGAGCCAAATGCCTTCACTCCTCCTGGAAACCTGTCCTGGAACACAGGCATATGTTCTTTCATTCAAGTTCAGTGTCTCAGGGACTTTTCTTCCTTGAAAAAATCCTTTGGTTTTGCTCTGTAAATACTGGGCAATGTGTACAAGATCCTCCGTGATTCAGGTCTGAGCTGCTCCCTTTCATCCCCCATATGGGCTCTGTAGCCGTGGCTGTTTGCCAATAGTCCATCCCACCAGTGATGAAATTGTGAAGGGGCTCTTGAATAGCAAAGCAAGACAAAGCCAGAGTTCAAGCTGTACTACATGTTTGATACAGTTATGTGTTATAGTTGAAACGCTGCTATGGGTGTGTGTTGTGACAGGGGCACCACACATATGGAGCCTGGAATTTGTAGTTCATTAAATTAAATCAAAACACAACTGTCATTATTATCAGTTCCCTTGCAATGGTGCTTGCACTGATTTGTGATGTAGGCTATAAATAGTATGGTTACAGTTGGAATTGTCATGCTGGTGGTGTGCTCATCCCTGCAGTGTTCCTCTGAACCCCGGGGTCAGTGCTTTTGCCTTCTCTAGAGGAAGGTGGGTTGGGTGCCTGGTTGCAGGGGAAGGATAAAGGTGTTTTGTAGGAGGAAACAAGGATTTCATCCTCACTTCACCTCATCCCTGCTGGCTGTTGGAATGAGGCCGTGCACTAGAGAAGAAAGCACGATCCCCGCTCTGTCCCCAGCCGGGACTGGGATATTGGTTATCCTGCTGTGTTTGTTCTCTCTCTCCTCTCACCCAAGTACATCCGCCTGTCGTGCGACACAGACTCTGAAACACTCTACGACCTCATGACCCAGCACTGGCACCTGAAAACCCCAAACCTCGTCATCTCTGTCACTGGGGGAGCCAAGAACTTCGCACTCAAGCCCCGGATGCGCAAGATATTCAGCAGGTTGATCTACATCGCCCAGTCCAAGGGTAAGGACCTGCTTTTGTGCCCGTGATGGTCGATCGCTGCAGGATAGTGTCGGAGAGGCAGCAGCTCAAAGGGTGAGGAGGAAAGCAGAGCATTCTGTTTGCTTCTGGCTGGCTGGTGCGTTTGGGACACGTGTGACCCCGCGGTTTGGAAGTAACAGGGTTGAGAGTTAGTCGTGGGGTGCCTGGGGTAGCATGAGTCGTGTAACACATCTTTTGCATTTAATTGAAAAACAAGCATCTCCTCTAAGGTCGTGAGAGGGGGTTGGGTGGTTGTGTCTGAAGGCAGGGGGAGCGTGGGCGTTTCCCTGCGTTCCCCCGGGTCACTGGGTGTTGTTGCAGGGGCCTGGATTTTCACCGGTGGCACTCACTACGGGCTGATGAAGTACATTGGGGAGGTGGTCAGAGACAACACCATCAGTCGCAGCTCAGAGGAGAACGTGGTGGCCATTGGCATAGCGGCCTGGGGCATGATTTCCAACCGGGACACCCTCATCCGCGCCGCCGACAGCGACGTAAGGAACGGGGATCGTGGAGCAGTTAAGGTTGGAATAGACCTTTATCAAGTCCAACCACCAGCCCAGCACAACCACTGTGTTCACCACCTAACCGTGTCCCCCCAGGTGCCACGTGGATGGGGTGGTGGGAAAAGAAAGAGGAGGCTTGGCCTCAAAACATCAGGTGCTCTTCCCAGAACAGGAGGAAACTGAAGTGTCCAAGGCAGTCGCACAGCTCAGGCCTGGTGAGGAGAATTTCAGCTGTGCCAGATTTGGCACAGTGTGGAGGTTCAGCAGCCCTAATTCCATGTCTGGTGTTGCATTAGGGAATGACCTCTTCCATAGTTATTCTAGCTCCAGGAAAATCCCTATGCACTCACCCAGAGTGGGGATTCCCACTGGCTTAGACAGGTTGTACCTGCTGCTGCTGTTAAGGATCTTCACTGATGCTGTCATCCAACTTGGCATAGCTCCCCTTGTCTCTTGTCCACTAGACATTACAGAACATGTCTAAAAAACCGTCCCACTAGATAAATAACAGCAGATCAGTTTGTTGAGGGCTCCAAAGATGTTCGAGGGTTGAACTAGATCATCTCAGGAGGGTCTCTTCCAACCTAAAAAATTCTGTGAGGTGTTGAAATGATCTGAGTCTTGGGGATGGTCCTGTGCAGGGCCAGGAGTTGGACTCGATAATCTTTGTGAGTCCCTTCCAATTTGGCATATTCTGTGATTCTGTGAAACTAAGTATGCCACAGATGCAATGTTTTCGGTGGCTGAAGGAAGCATGAATTTAACTGGATCTCTGAAAGGACTAAACTGTTGCAAATAACTTTGACTGTTCTGTTGGCTGAGGTGGAGTTACGGGAGGATCATCACAAATCAGGCAGCTCTTGTAAAGAAAAACTTTCTCTGCAAATATTTATGCTGTGCTCCTGTGCTACTTTTTCTCACTGCCTTCTGCTGCTGTTGGTACTGCCAGTGAGCATGTCCTGAGTCAGGAAATTTGGACTCCCAACTAATGAAGAATAGCTGGTGGCTTGGGGTTCAGCTGTCATGGCTTGTCATAGAATCATACAATGGTTTGGGTTGGAAGGGACTTAAAGCCCATTTTGTTCCATGCCCTACCATGGGCAGAGACACCTTTTGCTCTAAGCCCCATCCAGCCTGGTCTTGGACACTTCAGGGATGGGGCAGCCACAGCTTCTCTGGGCAACCTGTGCCAGGGCCTCCCCACCCTCCCAGCAAGGTGTGTCCTTGTCCTGGGAGGTCTCTGTGTTCCCTGTCCCTGGGTCTCTCTCAACACTGTGCCTGTGCTCCTAGGGGAACTACTTGGCCCACTACATCATGGATGACCTCAAGAGAGACCCGCTGTATTGCCTGGATAACAACCACACCCATCTCCTGCTGGTGGACAACGGCACCCACGGGCACCCGACCACAGAGGCCAAAGTACGGACCCAGCTGGAAAAGTACATTTCGGAGCGGGTTATCCCAGGTTCGTGTGGGGGTCGGGGTGCAGACCTCCTCCTGCTCATCCTTGCATGCTGTGGGGGGGATGCACAGCGATTTCCTGGGAATGACAAAGCGGTGGCAGCATCCTGTGGATGCTGAGCTGGAAGGGATGTGTGTGTGTGTGCTGTGTTGCATCTTGAGCGCTCTCAGGAGCTGCCAGACCTTTTCAGAGCAACACCTTCCCTCATATTGCTTTCTTGATGTCACAACAAATGCTCCATTCCAGCCACACAACCCTTCCCTCACCACCTATTGGAAGCTGACCCTTCTACACACATCCCACCTGGCACTGAGTTCTGGGTAGCTGAAGCACAACTACGCAGGAACTGAAATTAGGCTTTTCCCAAAATGTTTATGTGTGAGGGTGATTGAGCCATCTGCAGCCTGCTCCTAAAGAATTTGTCTTTCACCCCCTTCTTTACCAAAATGAAACAAAAAAAAATCAAAGGCCTTAGCAGGAAATTATTAGTTAAAGAGTTTTATTTTTGGGGGGGGGGTTGTTGTTTGGGGTTGGGGGTTTTTTGGAATGTCTCTCAAACAGTAGCTCCTAGAGTTACGGGATTCTTAGCTTTCCTTTACAACTGAAAATGTTCTTATCACAAGTTCAAGATACAATCCTCTGAGCTCACCTTTCACTGAGACTCAAAATGGTCAAAGCAGTAGGAAAATACAATAAAATCAAGTTTTGGAGGAAAAAATTTTGATTTCTAGCAGGTAAAAGCTTCTATTGGAGAAGTGTGTCTGAAACCAGCTATGCAGAATGTTAGTCAAAACAGGAAAAGCTGTTAGTAACTGTGGCAAAATCAATGTCAAACTAGTTTTTGCATGAACTGCTTGGAAATTCCTTCATTGTACTCAGGAAAAAGAAGTTGTTCTGTATTAATAGATTTAATCCTTGTCCTTCGTTTTACTTTTGGCCTGTTTCACAGAATCTAATTATGGTGGGAAGATTCCAATTGTGTGTTTTGCCCAAGGTGGAGGGAAAGAGACTTTGAAAGTAAGTTTATTTCTTTTACTTATTTCCTGTGAAGAAAGTAAAATTGAATCAGAGTGATATTTATGATTTTTTTTTTGTTTGTTTGAAGAGGTGATCTTGGTACTTTTCTGTTCTCCTGTTAATAATGAAGTTACTCAAACTATTTTGCTTGGCAGGTGTGCTTCCACTTCACTGCTGATGTTAATCAATTAGTCTGAACCACTGTGTGAAATTTCAGTTATCTCAGCCCTTCCTGTACGTTTCCTGGGTGTTCTGGTTCCATTCACATGGATAATTTTTGCTTTCCCACAGATAGGTTGTAGGGGAATATGGATGCAGAGTGTTACTCAGAGGTTCTGAGATGAAATGAAGGATCCATTCAGGTTTTAGGGGAAAGCTGTGCTCAAAAGGATGTGTTGAATGTGTCCATCTTCTTTTAGCTCTAAATTGCTGATGTTTAAAGAGAGGATTTGGCCATCACTGAAGGAACTCACTCTATGTGCCATGGAATTACACATATGTTATAAAGAGACCTCAGGCCCACTGTTAAGCAATGACATGTAACACAGACTTAGTGGCTAGTCAGAATGAGTGAAAGCCTTGTTAAATCAAATGCATCATTCCTAGCAAGAGGTTCCTCTGGAAAGTAACTGGATGATGATTCAGTTAAGTACCTATGCCAGTCTCTTGGCTATTTAATAGAATCACAGTATTATTAAGGTTGGAAAAGACTTCTGAGATCATCAAGTCCAACAATGTAGCACCATTGTGTTCACCACCAAACCACATCCTCACGTGCAGTTTTGAACACTTCCAGGGATGGTGACTCTGCCACTTCCCTAAGCAGCCTGTTCCAGTGCTTGACAACCCTTTCAGTGAAGAATGTGTTCCTAATGTCCAACCTCATCCTCCCCTGGTGCAATGTGAGGCCGTGTCCTCTTGTCCTGAGTTTTATTTCTCAGTGGCCCTAAGTGCACTGAGACACCCGTGCCTGCCTTCTTGCTCATTTGTAGGTGAAGACCTTTTCTGAAGGAGTAAATTGGGTCTGTGATCAGCCCAAATGACACAGCAGGCTCCATGCTGTGGGGGTCTGGCCTAGCCAGGCCTCAAACTTAGCAGTGCTGGCAGGGAAAGGCTCCCTCTTTCTCAGCTTCTTTGAGTGATGACAAGAATCAATTTTAGCAGAGGAGAAATAAAACTGTTCCAAGCTTCTGTTTTAAACTCCCTGTGATGTAAAACATGCACTTTAGCTGAACCCTTCTTTAGAAAACCACTCTGATGTAGTTGGTAAGAAGAAACACCTTGCCTTTGTCACAGACCTGCTCCCCACCTGACAGGAGGAACTTGCCTGTGGTTTTGATGACTATAAGTTGATTATTTTTTTATTTTTTTATTTATTTTTTTTTAATTCTCAGAAAACTGTCTCATCGCTGATGTGTCTTTTCAATGCTTGATGATAAGTTGCATGGACTCCCCTTGTACAGTTTGCTGGCAGACAGTGAGTCTGTTTTCAGTGTAGTGACGCAAATGAAATCAGTGTTTGCTGTTGTGGTCTTTGCAACAGGGGTAAGGGTCCTTCCATCGGGATTTCAACAAGTTTTTTTTTCTTGCTGTTGGTCCATGTACAGCATTGCTGTGTGAGAAATCACGCGAGTGGCTACTTGGAGACTTTCAGTAACATCAGTTCGATGTTCTGTTGGTGCTACAGAAGTAGCGCTCTGTAAACGCTGCTGCACATAAATCCAGAGCTCTTGTTCCCAGCTGTGGTGTTACCTGAGCAGTGCTGTGCCATAACCAGCAGGGACTGGAGCTGGCCAGTGTTATGTGACCTGAATGCCATTTCCACTTGTCAGTTGTCCTGATTTGCCCATCAGCTCAAAAGCTGAGCAACCTGGTCTAGTGGAAGGTGTCCCTGCCCATGGCAGGAGTTGGAACAAGGTGGTCTTCAGGGTCCCTCCCAACTTAAAACATCCTGTGACTCTATGAAAATCTGGCAGATGGTAATGTCTGCCCCTCAGTTTCTGTGGGACTTCTTGCAGCCCTCTGTCATTAGATGGGTGATGTTTTAAAGACTTGTCATTGATAATGTATGAGTGAACAGTAATAAAAATACTCTTCTGGACTGTGGGTTTCTGTTGCTCTCCAGGCTTTCTTACTCAATAGCAGGCTCTAATAACACAGTCATGCTTCGGGTGATCCCCTCTCTGCCTCCCTAGTCCATCAACGTGGCCATCAAGAGTAAGATTCCCTGTGTGGTGGTGGAAGGCTCTGGCCGGATCGCCGATGTCATTGCGAGCTTGGTGGAGGCAGAAGGCACTCCTGCTTCCTCCTGTGTCAAGGAGAGCTTGCTCAGGTTCCTGCCCCGCACCATCTCCAGGCTCTCGGAAGAGGAGACTGAAAGCTGGATCAAGTGGGTGAGTGGGACTGTGGGAGCTGAAAGCGGGAGAAGGGTAGAGGGGTCCGGGGATATCTGGTGATACCTGTGGGATGTGCAGGGCTCCTTGCCATGTTATGTCCACGGGGATTTAAAAAAAAAGGAAAATTCCGAACGCTCTCAGGGATCAGGATACAAGGAGGCCCCAATCTTTTGGAAAGTCAGCACATGTCTAGACCCAGGAGAGCTAAGCCAGATGTTTTGTGACTGTCTGCTCCTGGATGCTTGTGATTCCTCTGAAGCACTGGCTGCTGGATGTGTCTCTTGGCTGATGAGCTGGTTGGTGTTGCAGTTCCAGAATTGCTCAGAGAGAAAGGGTTATTGCTGCTGCTGCACAGACTTTCAAATTGCAGTGATTCTACTTCAGAATTCTGTCATTTCTTCCCTAAGCTCCTTTATTAAGGCATGCAGGAAGAAAGCCATGGGGCAGGAGGCATTTCCCACCAGGAGTGGGATGTTTAGGGCTAGAGGCTTACTGAGGCAGTGTTTCACCACATCTCCACTGTGACTCTGTTAGGTTGATTTACTGGCTCTGTGTACATGGAATGCAGTTGAAGACACAACACTGAATATACACCAAAACATTCTTCTTTTGCCCTTTTTTTGCCTCTTGGACCAGAGGTAGTCACCATTGTGATGCCATGTGTAACTGTTTATTACAAGTGTTTTCTGGAGGCTGGGAAGACTGGAGAAGTGAGGAAAGCACCTGCTGCTTTGGGTTGCTTGGCCCAGTCTCAGGAACCTGTTGTACCTCTGGTTACCTGGCCCTCAGGTGGACTTCTTCTTATGCTTCTGCCCTCCTTAATAGGGACAGAAGAAAGTGCAGCTCCTGAAAAATCTGAGGCTGCTTTCAGCATTGAAACTGCCTTTGAGAAGGAGTTACGTTTTAGGCAGAAAACAATCTCCAGCTATCCCGTTAGAAATTCTTGCTAAAGCACTACTCCAACAGTCAGGAGTGGCCAAGATTCTTTGTTTTCTGTGTGCTAGAATGGAAGTAACTCCATAAAGCTTCATTATGTGAGAAGTTATCTCTGTTTTTGACAAAGCACGAGGAGGTAGAGACTGGTCTCTAACAAATTGTTTGACATTTGTTGAAACTTGTGCTTCACAATCTTCTTTTTTACTTTATAAGTAGCTTCAAATTACTGAGATTATATCTTTTTATTCTGCATAGGGGAATCAGTTATTTGCTGTATGTTCAGAGGATAACTAATCTTGTACTTTGGTGACTTTAAAATAAATCTCATTATCTACTTGTATTTAAATTTTAACTATTGGTGGAAATGAGACTGATGAGAAGCAGCTTTGCCGCAATGTGGTGGGAAATTTCTTTTTGAAATGCTCTAGGAGATCAACTACTAGACAGCCTTGATTGCTTTGAAATGGAACTTTTTCTTTTTGTAGATCAAAGAAGTCCTTGAGAACCCTCATTTACTGACAGTGATCAAAATAGAAGAAGCTGGAGATGAAATTGTGAGCAATGCCATTTCCTTTGCTCTGTACAAAGGCAAGTAATTGTTTTTCCTGGTTGGAGTTTGTTTGGGTTTTTAAAATAAATGGGAAAAGATGGTTATTTATTTTCTAGAACAGTTTTCCTTAGAGCAGTGCCATCTCTCTACGCTCCTGCCACAGGGTAGAGCTTGTCTTCATCTGGAGTGGTGTGGGCAGGCTACAGCAACATTGTGGGATCTGTTAGTGTGGGTGAGATCCAAGCCAGGTAATTGGGAAGGGATTTAGGAAAGCTCTGGAGATGCTGGTAGGGCCCCATTGGGAATCCTTTTGCAGGACACTGAGGAGCCTGAAGGAGACTCCTTGTGTCCTGCACGACACTTGTGTTGATTTTGGTTACGAGTGTTCCTGGCAGCTCTTCTGTGGCTTGTGTTGGACCATATGTATGTCTCTGAGCCTCCAGCATCCTCTGAAAGCTTTTCAGGAAGATGGGAAAGACACTTGGAAGGAGTCCTGTCAGTTGGCATGAGAAGCAGAGATAATCATGCCAGGAAGCATTCTGATCTTTACCTAGAGGTTGTTCCCCCTCTGCAGCTTTCAGCACCAACGAACACGACAGGGATAACTGGAATGGGCAGCTGAAGCTGCTGCTGGAGTGGAACCAGCTGGACCTGGCCAGCGATGAGATCTTCACCAATGACCGGAACTGGGAGGTACAAACCCCTCCTGTGTGAGTACAGGGAGTGGGACAGGGGGCTGTGGGAAGAGGGGCATCCCAAGGCTGCCGGAGCTCAAGGAGCGTTTGGACAACGCTCTCAGGTGCAGCATGGGATTCTTAGGGTGTCCTGGACAGAGCTAAGGGTTGGACTCAATCCTCGAGGGTCCCTTCCAGCTCAGGATATCCTATTCTATGGATTCTATGATGCTATGGTCACTGTTTACAAAGGTGATCTGCCTATGCCAAAAGTGCTCTGGGCCATCCAACAAAGGCAATTCCATGTAGAAAAAAGCTGGTTCTGGTGAAAAGGTGAGTAAACCACGTGCCAGGCCTTAGGTGAGCTTTACATGGCTCACATGCTCCCTAATATTGCTTTCCCATTTCCTCCTAGTCTGCTGACCTACAGGACGTGATGTTCACAGCCCTAGTGAAGGACAGGCCCAAATTTGTGCGGCTGTTCCTGGAAAACGGCTTGAATCTGCGGAAGTTCCTCACCACAGAGGTCCTGAGAGAGCTGTACACCAACAACTTCAGCAGCCTGGTGTTCAAGAACCTGCAGATCGCCAAGAACTCCTACAACGATGCCCTCCTCACCTTCGTGTGGAAGATGGTTGAGGACTTCCGAAGAGGGGTCAAGAGGGATTACAAAAACAGCAAGGATGAGATGGAGATACACCTCTCGGTAAGTGGTGGATCCCACTGGGAATGAGGTTATCTCAACCTCAATTGGTTAATGCAGGAAGTGACTTTGACTCAAATGTCCTTTAATGCCACCTTTGGGAAAACAGGGAGACTGATTTAAGGCTTTATTATAAATACCAAATATAACCTAACTCACAGCAGTGTGTGACAAGTGGCAGAGAGCTGAGAGAGAGGGTCGATGGGCTGGTTGTAAAAGGAAGACAATGTGAAAACAAGAGTGGCAGGCTTGTTGGGTTTGTTCCAGTTGAGAACAGTTTGGTGAGCTTAGGTCTGAGGGACTGTTGCTCTCTCTTTCAGGAGGAGTGTCCTATCACAAGGCACCCACTACAAGCTCTGTTTATTTGGTCAGTCCTTCAGAACAAGAAAGAGTTGTCTAAAGTCATTTGGGAGCAAGTAAGTTGAATTCTCCTGTATTCCTTACAGTAGGGTTCTCTGTCTTTGGTTTATAGGCCTCTGAAGGCTCTGGATCCGTCTTCAGACACAAAACCAGAAGACATAATTGCTAGGTGACTCTAAGTTGGTTGAATGTTGCCCATTTTGAGTTTGGTGTGGTCATTTCTTAGGGTCATGTGTGAGTCAGCAGGCCAAGCCAGTTGTATGTCCTCATCTTGCTCAAGCTTGGATGCCGAGTTCCCACCCATTCCATAACATGGGTGGGTTCTGGTTCCAGGTGTTTGATTGAAATCCATTTCTAATTTGGATTAGACAGGATATTTAATGATCACAGAATCACAGACCACCTGGTCTAGTGGAAGGTGACCCTGCCCATGGCAGGGGGTTGGGATGAGATGGTCATTAAGGTCCTTTCCAACCCAAACCACTCTGGTCCTATGGTTCTATGACCATGTTTTCTTCACAGAGGGATTTGCATGATTTGACTCTCTCTCTCCACAGACCAGAGGCTGCACTTTGGCAGCCCTTGGGGCCAGCAAGCTCCTGAAAAGCTTGGCCAAGGTGAAGAATGATATAAATGCTGCTGGTGAGTCTGAGGAACTCGCTAATGAGTATGAGACAAGAGCAGTGGGTAAGTGCCTTCTGTCTAAGTTCTTTAGAAATTTAGTAGGAGGGGTCAGAGATCAGGGAATTGAAAACTAGATATCCAACATTAAATATTTTTCTTTAGTGTCAACATGTGTTTCTGCTGCTTGGAAATCGCTTCTACACCGTCTGTTCTCAGTAGAAACTGTGTGTCCTGTCTGAACAGCTTGCCTCCAAAAGTGGGTGTTGAGGGGTGGGTTTTTTTGGGGTAGAGAATTTCTTTTGTGGGGTAATAAAAGCTGCTTTACTCTAATGGCAAGGCTGAAGATGGGTGCCCACAAACAGGGGGGAGAATATGGAGAAAGAGAAGCTTTCCACATGAGCACTGGTGTAATATTCAGGTTGGGAAAAGCCACCCTTCAAATTTGCAGAAGCACTTTTGGGGGGTGAGAATAAATTGCAGGTAAATAGTATATTGGATTCCTAAATTCTGAACTGCAAAATCTTATCCCTTCCTTATTCCAAGATGACAGGATCCTGTGGAGCAGGATCTTGGCTCCTAAACCTGGGGGGAGATACAACATAGTGTTGCCTCTGGGGCTTGATTAGGCGTTATGGCCTTGTTGTCTTGCCTGGTGCAGAAAATGGTGTGTCACCACCCTGAGTCAGAGCAGGGGACAGGTAAAGGGGGTGATAGGAAGTAGCTGAGTAGGAAAAATAGGAAGGTTGAATAGGAGACCATAGAAATGTTGCTGGAAGAGCTTCTGGAGGCCTCCAGTCCAACCTTCTCATTGAGGTGGTGGTACCACAGGACTAGATCAGTTCAGTCATGGCCTTGTTTAGCCACATCTTGAAAGTCTCCAAGGATGGATATTGTTTTATGGCACTAGGTGGACATGGTTTGTTCGTGGGCTTGGCAGTGTTGGGCTAACGATTGGAGTCAATGATCTCAGAGGTCTTTTCCAGCCTAAATGGTTCTGTGATTCTATAAGGAGTGGCACAAGGCATAACTGAAAATATTTTGCTCATTACTAGAAAGTATCTCCTACTCCTCAGGGCAAAACCTGCTTAAATAGACTTTCTTGCAAGTATCTACGTCCCTCAGGTCTGATTTAACAAGACACTGAGGAGTGAACGGGCGAACAAAGCATTTCCCAGTGAAAAAGTATCGGATTCTGACCTTTTCCAGCCCTTAATATGGGAGTGACTGTAATTCATTAGATCAGTGCCAAATGGAATTTAAGAAAAGAAGATGAAAAAGGTAGACATACCAAGTCATTTAAGGAGAAGGTTGTATTTTTTACTTTATTTTTTTAGTGCAGATTTCAACCTAATGCTGTCTCTTGTGTGAGCTAATTTAGTGTTACAGTTTTCCATCCACACGAGTTCTAAACATGTGCAAGTGGGGTTGTAAAGCAATGCACACGTCATTCTACAGTGGTGAAAATGTGAAAGGAGTTCTTGTGTCTGCACGCTCTGATGCTACAAATGTTATACTGAAGACAATTGCACCCAAGTTGGTGGGAAATGGAAGCTGGATCTCAGTGTGGGGCTGCCTCTTCCCTGCAGAGCTGTTCACCGAGTGCTACAGCAGCGACGAAGATCTGGCTGAGCAGCTGCTGACTTATTCCTGTGAAGCCTGGGGAGAGAGTAACTGTCTGGAACTGGCAGTGGAAGCCAGAGACCAGCAGTTCATTGCCCAGCCAGGTGTGCAGGTAATGGCAGTGCACAGGAGGTGCTCAGGTGGCTGTAACTCCTGGGACCTGACTGTGGGTGTGGCTCCTCCTGTAGAAATAGGAGGCGGCTGATTTACCCACAAGTGCTAAGTCAGGAGGGAAGAATCTTGGTTTAAAGTTGTAAATCCTAATGAGCTGAAGGGTAGAGAGTGCCTGAAGTGATTTCTGCCTTGGCACAGCTCTGTGTGTGCGCAGTGTGGATTTAATGCCTGGTGTGGATGGGCATTACATAAAAGGTCATGATTTATATGTGTCTTATCAATCAGGTCCAGTCCTGCTCTCAGCCTCGCTTTTAACTCCTCATCACAGAGATGGAGAATGGCTGGACTAAGGACCCGGCACATGGTTACTGATGCAGATAACTTTCTTTAGTGTTGAAACAGAAATCTCAAGTATTTTGATGAAAACTCAAAGTTTGGGTTTTTTTTCCTAAATCAAATGTTTTTTAATAGCACTTCTAGGTTGTTTTGTTGCTGTGAAAACTAATGAGAATGTTTTCTTCTTCCCTGCAGAATTTCCTTTCCAAGCAGTGGTATGGAGAGATTTCAAGAGACACTAAGAACTGGAAGATCATACTGTGCCTGTTCTTTTTTCCTTTAATAGGCTGTGGTTTCATCTCATTCAGGTAATTAACTGGCTTCTCATTAGCAGAAAGCAAGCAAGTCAATTAATTGTAGAATCCTAGGGCAGTTCAGGCTGGAAGGAGATCACCCAGTCCAACCCTGTGCTCAAACTGGGTCAGCTGGAACAGGTTTGCCCAGGACTGTGTCCAATTGGGTTTTGAGTATCTGCAGGGTCAGAGACTCCACAGCCCCCCGAAAAACCTGTTATAGTGTTCAGTCAGTCTCAAAGATATTAAAAGCCTGAATGAGCTTTTAACAGCTTGTCTTCATTCTGATCTTGGAGTTAAGACTGCAAAATCCCAGACTGGTTTGGATGGGAAGGGACCTTAAAGCCCATCTCGTTTCACCTCCTGCCATGGGCAGGGACACCTTCCACTAGCCCAGGTTGCTCCAAGGCCCTCCAGCCTGACCTGGAAGATGTACCAGTTTCCTGGAGTGCCTGAGGTCAGTGGATGCAGGATGGCTTCACCTCTAAAGTAACATCCCACGCTAGACTTAGCACCTTTCTCATTTTGGCTTTGAAGAACACAAGTGTTCCCAGGCATAAAAGCTGTGCTTTGAGACCTTTTCCCCCTTTTAATCCCTCAGAAAAAAGCCTGTGGAGAGGAGTAAGAAACTCTTCTTGTATTACGTGTCTTTCTTCACCTCCCCCTTCGTGGTCTTCTCCTGGAATGTCATCTTCTACATCGCTTTCCTGTTGCTCTTCGCCTACGTGTTGCTTATGGATTTCCAGAAGGAACCCACTGCCCTGGAGATCATCCTTTACGTGCTGGTCTTCATTCTGCTTTGTGATGAAGTGAGACAAGTAGGCAGCGCTTGCAACCCAAGTGTTCAGTGTTAGAGCCAAGGCCTGTGGTTTTCCCCCTCCGAGTAGTGTAAGGCAGCACAGGCTGGTGCTCAGGGGCAGAGGGATTCCTGGGGGGTGTGGGGGGGTGTTCAGGCAGCTCAAGGCTCAATGAATATTTTTTTTTCCTCTGATATTTAATTTCTACTTGTGCCCCAGTAGCTGCAGTGTCCATGCACTGCAGAGGAGTGTGTGGATAAGCTGATGCCCGTGCAGATATTTCTCAGGAGTGCTTGGCTTGCAAAGCAGTTGAGAATAAAGGGTTAGATTTACCACATTTATCCGGGTGCATACCTCTAGATCAAGTGATCCCAGCTTCCCTTCTCCACATCCCACCCCTTTGCATATTTCTGTTTAGCTTTTAATCATCTGTACAGTTATTACTAGTTTGATGTAGGACCAGATTAGCTGTGGTATGGGAACAGCATGCAGGACAGCCTTTATAGCCAGCCACATACTGGTATCTTCTCAATTCATATGTAAGGGGACACATGACATGGTTGGGGTTTGGGCAAGCTTGTCTCTGCCAGTCAGCGTTCAGAGCAGTGGGAACATGCAGGGGAAATCAGAAGAGCAGTGGGTGGGTGTGTGGTTTGGTGCAGTGCTGTTTTCTGACTCCTGTAAGGCACGAGTGTCTGTGGGTGATCTGCTGGATCCTCCCACCCTGCAATAACACTTTTTACATGGGCTCAGATGACGTTTCTGATGTTGATGTTATTGCGGTCTTTTCCCTTTTTAATAGTTAAGGTGGAACCTTGTTTGTGTCAAGTTTACTTGCTAAGGAAAGTGGGGGAGAAGTACAAGACTCTTTTGCAATGAAAACACTAATGGAGTGTTTGTTTCTGCTGATTTAGGTTCTGGTGTCTCTGGACCTGTCTTTGCACTTCCTGTGTGTACCCAGCAAAAGTCCTGGGGAAATACCTTAGGGATAGAAACCTTAAATTCCTACCAGTGTCCCTTTTTCTTGCCACCCTGAGCAGGTAGAACAGCTGCAGATCTCAGTAATCCTGTTAGTAACTGGTGGCCAATTTGGCTGTGGGAGTGGAAGCAGCTAAAACAGACTTTGGTGAAGGTTTAGTTATCTCAAACCAGTGTCCTGACTTCAAAGCTGTTCTACCAAGGAGCAGAACACAGAGAAGTGTTTCAATCCTCTGAGCTTCTCAGGGAAATTTCTTCCTGGCTTCCTCCAAGATACATTGTGTGTGGATTAATCTAACTCTGCATCAAAATAGTATCTGTGTCCTTAATATTTAAAAGAAAAAAAACAGCTAGGGATGTGCCAAATTTTGTTTTCACATCCAAGGAAAAGTAAGAGTAATGTTGGCTGGGTTCCCACTGTAGCTGCTGCAGTTGGATAACCAGTTTTGGGGAGAAATCAGCCCTCTGGTCGGAGAGTGAGGTGGCTGTGGAAGTGACAGCTACTAGACATGGTTCCAGACTTAAAGCAGGAGAACTGAACCGTGTGTGAACCGTGAGCCACTGGCTCAGCCCTGTTTTCAGTTCTGCTGGTCCCAGAGATGAGTAACTGGCTGGAGCTGCTCTCTCATGTCCCGTTTAGAGCTGTCACGGCCATAGTGAGATCGGAGGGGCCTTTTCCCTGCTGTGCCTGTAGCCACATGGATTTAGCCTCCAGCCAGGTGAGTGGGTAGACTGGTGGGGTGTGCAGGAAAGCTCCATTTTCTCAGACAGAGGAGGAGTCTGGGCAGAACCTCCGTGCATGTGAAGCCCCAGCAGTGGGAACTGCTTGGAATTTGAGGACTGACCTGCACCGCAGTCTCGGTTGTTCTGTTTGATTTAGGGAGTTACTGGGCAGAGACAACCTGATGTCACGGGTGTGAGACGTGCTGTCCCCACTCAGTGCTCAGCCTTTGGTGCCTTAAGTAGTAAGAAAGGGCTGTGTGTTCCCTGAGATGCTGAAATACTGCCTGGCATGAATTTCGAAGGTATTTCCTGAGCCTGGCACCCTGGCAGCTGCCACCCTGTCCATTTTAGCTGTGCATCCCATCACGTGAAGGAAATGCAATTGGAATAGTAAAGTGGGGCTTTCTACTTACTGCTTCTTTTCCACCTCGGAGAACACTCCCCTTGATCTCTGTGTCCCATAATGGTACTGAGAGCAGAATCACTTTCCTTGGATATGCCAGTTAGATTCACTGACCAGTACTCTCAAACTTTGATCATTTCAATAAAAATTAAAAGGAATTATGATCAGGGACACAGTTTATTTCTATAGGCCTGGTAGAGCTTTTTCCTGATTAAACTTCTTTCCTCATGAGTCATCTCTGAACTGATTCAGGACGTTGGTTCTTGCAGAAACTTTGGATCCAGGCTGCAGTGCCAGTTAGTCTGGGAATGAGCAGAGATTCTCACTAGACTTGCAAGTCAAAAATGGAGAGTCAGGTCATGAAAGGAATAAATTCATTCTGCATCTTTGATCTAAAGCATGTGCATGTAACCAGGGACAGGTTCCTGAATGACCTCTGTGAAAGAAGAGAAGCCAGAATTCATCAGCTACCCTTAAGTGACCCCCCCTGTGTCCCCCCAGTGTTTCATTGCTCTTAATGGGTCACACCCAGATTCTGAAAACAGGTGGTCAGTAATTTCTGGCATTGCTGGATATATTAAACCCCCTCTTACTGGGGAAATTAAAAGCAATCTGAACTCTGGTGCACCTATTGTGTGACCAAATAAAAAAAAATTGGGCAAGGAAATTGTGTTGTTTGGGGGTTACTTTCTGTTCTTTTTCCTTCCCAGTGGTACATGAATGGCAGTAAGTATTTCTCAGATCTGTGGAATGTTATGGATACACTGGCAATCTTCTACTTCATAGCAGGGATTGTGTTCAGGTGAGTGGTACCTTTTCTTGTGGCTGTGTTACGGCTTTGCTTCCTTTGTGGGTTTTGACTACGTGCAATGAGATTTTGGGGAACAATGTGTTTGTGAAACTCCCTGTTCTTTATGAAGGCCCCAAATACTGCAAAGTCTTAACTCAAAAAAAAAAAAAAAAAAGTCAGGAGATCTTTGGAACTTTCCCTGGCTTCTGTTTCTGACTACTTAGTCTGGCAGTCTGGACTTTGAGCTTCAGTGTGCTGTATTTAAGGGGACTGTGACTGTCCCTCCAACAGTCTAAGAGTGTTGTTATCTCCCAGAAACTGTCTTACATGATGGGATGAGTTAACAACCATGGCAAAGAAATGATGCAAACACTTTTTCCAGGCTAATTGTTCATTCAGCTGTAGGTTATTGCTGGTACCTCAGTGCAGCAGAGGGGTCGTTGCACTGTGGTGGTTTTGGAGGGCTGTGGGAGTAGCTAAAGGTACACATTTCTTTGCTGTTACCAGTTTTGAATGTAAGAGGAGCTGCAGGGATGATTCAGGGAAGGCTGGAAGGTTGTAAGCAAGGTGTGCGTTAAACACTTCTGTCGTCATATGGGAGAGAGCTCTGCTTTCCAATTAACTCACTTTTCGCTCCATTTCAATGTTTCCCTGTGTTTCTACCTGATTTCTGCATGTTTCACCCAACACTTGTCTTCATTTTCTTTTACTGTCTCCGTCAGGCTTCACTCTGATGAAAGCTCTTGGTATTCCGGGAGAGTCATTTTCTGTTTGGACTACATAGTTTTTACTCTGAGGCTGATCCATATTTTCACAGTTAGCAGGAATCTAGGACCCAAAATTATTATGCTGCAGAGGATGGTAAGATTCTGGCAGCTATTCAAGAGAGTCTAAATAAATGATGCAACACCTTTCATTTTGCTTTTTTTTCCCCCCTCAAGAGTGAAATCACCGTGTTCTGGTGATGGCAGCAAATTAGCTCTGCTGAACAGGATGTATTGAGGTTTAAATGGGATGTAATTAAGAGCAGGGCTTTTTTCTGTACCAAGGGAAAGAATAAGGATCAGGCTGAAGAACAGAAGAGGAGATTTTGTTCCTGGTAGCTTCCATGTCTCGGATGTTTCAGTGGTGTGTCCCATCACTCCTGTTGCCCACATGGGTGTTCCCCAAACTAGACAGTGATGCTGAATGGTACAGGAAGAGGATTTTGGTCTTCCACTGCATCCATCACACAAGTGCCTGGAGAAGAGGGTGGTGAGGAGTCTCGTAAGAAGGATGCTTGGGGCTAGTGGGAGGGCAGATCTGGAGGTGGATCTGTAGTAACTGGGGAAACTCAACTGGATTATTACCAGCCTTCAGTTCTCTGTGCATTGTTAAGAGCTAGAAATTCAAGAAACTGTTAGCCAGGGTGTATGGGCTATAAATGCTGGTTTAAGCCATCCAGAGGGGCGTTTCCAGGAAGAGTGGCTGCTTTCACCTGACATGGGGCTCCAGAGGCTGCAGCCACAGCCCTTATATGTGATTCTGGCTCTTGTGGAGCCTGTCTGGTGCCGGGGGATATCCTGTATTTGAAAACATGCCGTGCCTTTATGGTTTGCTATCCATTTTTTGAAGTTCCCTGAGTGGGGATGGTCAGTTATTTGTGGCTGTGTGTTGGTGAAAGTGGGAGCAAAAAGCCACGTGTGGCTTGGAACAGATGTGTGGTGGGGCAGTGATGCTTGTTGTCCTTTTTCAGATGATAGACGTCTTCTTCTTCCTCTTCCTCTTTGCTGTGTGGATGGTGGCCTTTGGAGTGGCCAGGCAAGGCATCCTGAGGAAGAACGAGCACCGCTGGGAGTGGATCTTCCGATCGGTCATCTACGAGCCCTACCTGGCCATGTTTGGCCAGTACCCTGATGATGTGGATGGTAATTATCCCCTGGGGGGGTCTCTGCTGGGTGGGTGGAAGACTCTGTCCTTCCAGAGGTTGTCCAGGCCTGTGTTGATCTGCATGTTGACCCTTTGCCTCCAGGTCTGATGGGAAGGCAGGGAGGGAAGAGGCCACGCTAATTGTGGTCAGAGCAGAGCCCAGCAGAAAGAGGAGGAGGGCACTCACAGTTTGCTCTCCCCTCTCACCCTCTGAGGTACCACCTACAACTTTGACCGCTGCACCTTTTCTGGGAATGAGTCCAAGCCTCTGTGTGTGGAGCTGGATGCCAACAACCAGCCCCGCTTTCCCGAGTGGATCACCATTCCCCTTGTCTGCATTTACATGCTCTCAACCAACATCCTCCTCGTGAACCTGCTCGTGGCCATGTTCGGGTACGTAATAAAGGAGCAATGGCTTCCTTGGGATCTCTGGACAGTGTATCTCTGGGAGAGGGAATGGAGTCCTGGAAAACAGTAGGAAACCAGCCCTTGGGCTCTGCATTTCTCACAGCAGCCTGATGGAAGCTGGTGCAGTGTCCTGGGGAGGGATTGCTGCCTGTCCTGTGCACAGTGGCTTGGTACAAACCCCTGTGGTTCACACAGGGGGTGATACCTGGGTCAGTGCCTTACCAAGTGTGAGTTTCTGCTCAGCTGACCTTGCTAGACTGAATAAATGAGTTATCATCATCTTTTTAGGACCCTGGTTTTATTAATCAGAACTGCTGTGTGGTGAGCATGGGCCTGTTACTGCTCTGGTGGGCCTGCTCTTTATTGTTCAGACTTACACCACAGGCAGTGGGCCCCCTCCCCTTGGGATGTGCAAAAGGACTTTGTCTTGAAAAGGGCCATCACCTCTAGACTGGCAAGAGCAGGGAACATTTGCCTCAGCTTCTTCCAGAAGTCTTTGTTGTTTCCACTGCAGGCTCTGACACAGGGTTGAGTTAATCATGGGAAGTCCTTCATTTCAGACCTGGGGAGTGTGTGGCCCTCTGGTTTCACTTGAGCATGTAGTTGGATTGGTGCTGTGGTTCTGTTCCACTTCCCAGCCCTGCTCCTTTTCTGCTTTACACTCCCTTACAACATAACTAAAGCATCACAACCCTGGGCATCATTCTCGAGGACCACTAGGTTTATTTTCGTGTTCTGATGGTACCTTGGCAGTGACAATCTTGGCAGGGATTTGCTTTGGCAAAAAGAGTATTTACAGGAGCTGCTGAGGACTCTTGGTGTTCCTCAAGAGGATCTCCTTTCTGAATGACACTGCCAATGTTTCCTGGCCTGGGATGAGATGTGTGAGTGTGGTGAGTTGAGAACACCCCAGCTTTAGGATCTATGCTCCCCTCAGCAATGAACCTTTCTGCCCAGGTTGAGCTGGACTCTAAAGACAGTCAGAAATGTGATTTTTGGCAATGCAGCCGGGACCAGTGTAGCACATCTATGTGTTTTCCTAACCTGCAAGGACCTGGTGACAGACAACAGTGCTTATGCTCCTTAGAAAGGGTGAAGCCACTCACATTAATAAAGTCTAGCAGTAATCCAGGTCTACCTTAGAAACCTTTGATATTTGTTAGAACACTCACTTTAAGAGCACCTAGTGGTAAATGCTCTACTTTATACTGTTATGCCAGTAAAAAAAAAAACCCTAGTTTTTGCCAGTTGTATTTATCTTCTAAACCAAAAGAGAATTTCCAGCAGGGAAGGTTTTGACTTCTCTCAGGAAAGGTCCATTGGGATCTCAGCACAGACATTTTGAGAGCATTCATCTGCCACTTAATGTCACACTGAAAGGTCAGGCAGCCTGTGAGCTGTTTGTTCCCATGGTTGTTGCTTTGCTGGGATCATACAGTGCTTAGTGCAGTAGGTTTGATCCATTCCTGGAGTGTCTGTAGTGCCTCTACTAAAAATCTCAGGACCTTTTCATTTTTTGGTAAATGTTCTCTTTTTAGTCCTTTTTTTTTCTTTTTTTCCCCAACAGCTTAGCTGATGAATTAATGAGACACAGTATCTTGTGAGGAAGCATCCTGTTCTCATGTGTCTAGGCTGGAAGAAAATTGCCTAAAGCTGAGATAGTAAAAGTACATGGAGTATTTTTTCCCTTATCCTATTTTTCCCAGTTTATTTGTAACTTCAGGGTTTTTCCTTCTCCTGTCTTAGTTCCTCACATTTGCAAGTTTCTCTCTAAAAAGGAAAAATGAAGTAAATAACCTCCTAGTCAGTAAAAATTACCAGCTCCAGGATGACTGGGGCCCCCAGCAGAAGAATGTGGAGCTGCTGAAGCAAGTTCAGAGGAGGCCATGGAGATGCTCCAAGAGCTGGAGCCCCTCTGCTCTGCAGGCAGGCTGGGAGAGCTGGGGGATTCCCCTGGAGAAGAGAAGGCTCCAGGGAGAGCTGAGAGCCCTTTCCAGGGCCTAAAGGGGCTCCAGGAAAGCTGGAGAGGGACTGGGGACAAGGGATGGAGGGACAGGACAAGGGGGAATGGCTTCCCAGTGCCAGAGGGCAGGGTTAGATGGGATAGTGGGAAGGAATTGTTGGCTGTGAGGGTGGGGAGGCCCTGGCACAGGTTGCCCAGAGAAGCTGTGGCTGCCCCATCCCTGGATCCCTGGAAGTGTCCAAAGTCAGGTTGGACAGGGCTTGGAGCAACCTGGGCTAGTGGAAGGTGTCCCTGCCCATGGCAGGGGGTGGCACTGGATGAGCTTTCAGGTCCCTCCCAACCCAAACCAGTCTGAGATTCTGTGGCTTTATAAAACCCTGCCCTGGTGCAGCACAGACGTGCTGTATTCCTTGGCTCTGATGGGGCTCTTTGAATATCTAATCCTGGGGGTATTTTCTCTCTTTCTTCACCCATTAGTTACACAGTTGGATCAGTGCAAGAGAACAACGACCAGGTGTGGAAGTTCCAGCGTTACTTCCTGGTCCAGGAATACTGCAGTCGCCTGACTATCCCCTTCCCTTTCGTCATCTTTGCCTACATGTTCATGGTGATGAGGAAATGTTTCAAGTGCTGCTGTAAGAAGGAAAGCAAAGAGCCATCCATTTGTTGTGAGTTGGATTTGTCCTTATTGCCCAGAAGTCATCTCTGTGGCAGGTGCATTGCAGTTCCTCCTTGGCATTGTGTGCCTAATCCAGGCAGTTGGTTGTTTGCTGGGAAATTTCCAAGGGCACTGTAGACCTTGGTGGAACTGGTTGTGCCGGAAGGGAGAAGCAGCTCATTCATGTTGTCTGTCATAAGCAAACCCACTGTGTTGCTGAAAATCTCTTGGGTAAGATTCAAATCTTCAAGTCAGAGTTATCCAGTGCTTTCTTGTCCAAGCCATTTCGAGGTAGAATTACCTCCTGTGTAAATCAATGAAGACTTCAGATTCATCCTATCAGTTTAGGGCTGCCTGTGCTGCTTTCCAGCTCTGCAGGGTTGTGGTTTTGTGTTTCTTTTAATTTGTTCTGTTTGCTAGAGAGTGACAGAAAGAGAATAAAGAGTTTCCTGGCCCTCTGGATGTGGCCAAATGGGCAAAGGACCTAAAAAATGTGGCGAGTCAGTCCTTTAGCTATTTCTCCCTCATTTCCTCTGTCAGAGACACAGATAGGAATTGTTTTAACAAGCTTTTTCCCCCAAGAAATGGAATGTTTTCTTTTTTCTTCATAAGTGCCATTCAGAAGCAACTGGGAGAGGATAAGTTGAATTAATTGACAGGCTTATTCCCACCCATCAGCAACCTGCCTGTTCCCTGCAGCACAGGCTGGATTTGTTATTAGTTTAGGAGGAAGAGCCTGCTTTGGGATATGAAGTTCCTTAGCACTGACTAAATCATTTTGGCTGCCCAAATCACTGGATGGTTTCCTTGCAGGGGAGGTTGTTTGATGGCAGATATTTCTGCTCAAAGGATGCACAGTTGATGTTGCAGTTCTGAAAGCAAACGGAAGAGTTAATTAGAGCCAGAATGTCATTGGGGTTTTGCTGATGACAGGAGCTGAAACCTGCACGGAGAGAGCACATTAATGTCTAGGCTGCTGCCAAATCCTGCCTTCCCCACTTAACTCTTATGGAAATGGTTGAGATTTGGGTGTTTGAATGCTTGTCAGTATCTGGGAGAACAACTAAGGGCTGGGTGAGGTTGGAGGAAATGAAACTTCAGCCATTTTCCAGCTCTGGACTTCTTTTGTCTCAGTTAATTTTATTTTTGTATTAAAACCCACGTGGTTTGTGCTGTCCAAATGGAATAGGACTAAATGCTGGAGTGTTATCCTGGAGGGCTTTGCTGCCTCCAAGTGGGTTGCTCTGTGTCACTGTTGAATTTACAGCATAACCCGGAAACGCTTTTTAGAGAAGACAGTGCTTCATCTTTTTGAAATATGAAAAGTTCAATGAAAAGTCATGATTCTTAACATATTTCGCTCTTAACATTCCAATTGGGATAGTGTGGAAACAAATGGAAAGCTCAAATCCACATAGGAAGCTTCTGGAATGTCCTATACCTGTTAAAGGAGCGGTACCTGTGTTAACTAAGACTCCAAAAAAATCCAGAAAGACTTTTGGAGCTTGTAAGTGTGGTGGTTTTCTTTTTTTTTTTTTCTTTTTTTTGGTTTGTTTTTGGTGTTTTGTTTTGTTGTTTTTGTTTGTTTGGTTTTTGTTTTTTGTTTAAACTCCATATTTCTTCTTTTTAGCCAACTCTGGTTGCCAGGAGTGAACAGGAGGGGAAGAGGGAAGTGGGGCTGTGATTGCTCAGGATGTGGAGAAAGGGAATCATCGACCTCTGAGTGCAAGCACTGACCCAGCCTTTTTGCATCTTAGCATCAGAGAGACAAATTTACCTTTTTTTTTTTCCTAATACATTTCTCAGGCTCAAGAAATGAGGACAATGAAATTCTGGCATGGGAAGCTGTCATGAAGGAGAATTACCTTGTCAAAATCAATACCAAAGCAAATGATTCATCAGAAGAGTACGTCTGCCCTTCTTTGTCTTCCTTCTCTTAATTCTGTTGAATATTTCTAGTGAAGGCAAGTTTTCAGCAGCTCTAAATGTTTACAGACTAATGAGTAAGTAAATAAACTCAGTGTAAATGTGCTTTTTATTTTTAATTTTTGAGGTGAAATGGTGGCTTTTTTTATGTGCTGCAGAGAAGAGAATGTCTTCCTGTGGTGTTTTGAGATCTCGTGGAAAGCAGTGCTATTGCTGACTATTCTTGTAACATTAGAAGTTCAGGTTGGTTATTAGGAAGAATTTCTTCACTGAAAGGGTTGTCCAGCCCTGGCACAGCTGCCCAGAGCACTGGTGGAGTCCCCATCCCTGGGGGGATGTGAAAGCCATGTGGATGTGGCACTTAGGGACATGGTCTGATGGTGGCCTTGGCAGTGCTGGGTTAAGGATTGAACTCTATGATCTTTTCCAAGCTAAATAATTCTGTGATACAGTTAGCAGAGAATATTTAGCATTACACCTGGAATATCAACCATTCCCACAGCATTAATCTGTATGGAGATCTGTGCTTAGTAGCATGAGTAGGAAAGACCTGGGGAGAGGAGGATGCTCTTTGGAATGATGGTATTGGAAGTCTGGGGTCTTGGACTGTGCTGGCGACTGCCAGCTCATGACACACTATCTTTGGGATCTGTCTTAGTGTTTTCAGAGTAATAGTCTAAGAGGAAAAAAAACCATAAATAAAGCTAGAAAACAGAACAGTAACCTGCTCTGTGTGATGGCTTAACTTGATTGCTAACTTCCAGCAGCTTGAGTATTTCCCTAAATCAAATGGCAGGGAAGAGCTAATCAGAATGGGCAAGACAGACCAGACTCTTCCATGCCCCTGCACATGGACATTGCTGTCCACAGATAAGTGTTTAAGTTAAGACTACCCAGAGGTAACCCAGCATTGCATAAGAAGCCAAACAAATGCCCAAAAAATAGCTTTTGTATTGGAAGCAGAAGTGTCTTGAGAAGGAAAATGGAACAGTATCCTATTAATAGTAGTTCATATGTTAGTTCATTTACTTGTCATAAAAGCAATGCCAATCACCTGCAGCTCCACCTCCTTGGGAGGATGGAGCACTGGGAGGGGGGAGTGTGGTGGTTAGCAAAGGTTTCTCTTAATACCTGCACTCAGCCTTTTCCTCCGTGTTCTCCTTCTGCTTTCAGGATGGTGCATCGATTTAGACAACTGGATGCAAAGGTACTTGTGCTTCAAATTGCTCTGGGAAGTGTGATTGTCTCTGGTAAAGCAGGTGATGGGCCACTGTTTTGCCCTGGGAATGAGGATGGATTTAAGGAACACAGACGTTAACTTCAAATAACGAGTGTCTAAGTTTACTGCAAAGAATAACAAAAGAAGCAGTGGCTTATGAAAGGATACACTTGGCAATGCATCTAATCATGACTACAAAGAAAGTTTATAGTGATTAAGTAATTAAGTGTCCCCTTGCCAAACATGTCTGTCAGATTTAGCTTCTAGTGCTGAAGGCATGAAGTAATTAAGCAATGTAAAGCTACCAGTCTACTAGAGAGCACATCATTATCAGAATTGTCATACAGGTATAATTTTTATGACCGTGATACTGAAAAGACCTTCCCAAGGGGTATTTTCTGAGGCTTGATTGAATTGTGTATTTGGCCTCTGAAGCAGGGAGTTGCTGTAGCATGCAGAACAGACTTTTTAGAAGTCCAAGCGGAAAAAGACCCACATGATACTTCAAAATAAATCTTTTGATTGCTGTCACATAATTTAGACTGCAAAATAATAGCTTGCTTTCCAGACTGAAATGGAAATGGTGAGTGAGTCTGTGGCTAGTGATGCTCTTCTTAAAACTGAAAGGAGATGTGATAAGCTTAATTCTCTACTGAAAAGTAATATCCATATTGTGCTTCTGTTCTTGTTAACCAGCTGAAATACATCTGCATCAGGGCTCACTGCATTAATTGCCCTGATGAAGACTAATGGAAAGTGTTCTTTCAAGCACTGTTGCATTTAGTGTAATATTTGGAGAGGCAATTTCTTGTTACTCACATGACTCATGAGCATTGCTTTCTTTGAGCTAGATTGACTTCACATAAATAACCTTTTTTTTTCTTTTCTTTTTTTTGTGGAGCTCTCTGATTTGAAAGGCCTTCTGAAAGAGATTTCTAGCAAAATCAAATGAATGCAGCTGAAATCCAAGAGCAGCTACCTGAGCAGAGTAAGCCCTCTTGAAATCCATTCTCTGGCTTGAATAAGTTCTATAAGTGTTTGTAATGTCAAAGGGGTGTGTCTCTGGAAGAAGAGTTAGTATTATTTATTGATGCTTGTATTTGTACTGTCTAATATTGGAAAAGGAATATGAGCCAAATTCTCTTCCTCATTTCTGTTTCTTTAAGCCCATCCAGTCCCACCCCCCTGCTATGGGCAGGACACCTTCCACTAGCCCAGGTTGCTCCAAGCCCTGTCCAACCTGGCCTTGGACACTTCAGGGATGGGGCAGCCACAGCTTCTCTGGGCAACCTGTGCCAGGGCCTCCCCACCCTGCCAGAGAAGATTGGCCCGTAGAGGTGCTTTGCCTGCAGGTGTTTCTTTAGCTGTCACTTCTGATAATTAGTCTCTGCTTCTCCACCAAGACACCGTGTGCTGGATGGGGGCTGCAATGAGCTCTTTGAGCGCGAGTGCTGCACAAGGCATCCAGTTATCAGAGCTGATGTCAGGAGGAGGAAAGCAAAGCACTGAGGTGGGCTGGGGGCTCTGCTCTGATGTTCCTTCTGTTGCTCACACAGGTACCAGTTCCCGAAGAGTGATTTCTCTGAGCTGGCAGTAACCACCAAGCAGGAGGGAACTGCTCCACCAGAGCGGCAGTGTCTCGGCAGGAGTCACTACGATTTTCTTGCTATTTTTACTTTTTTTGACAAAACAGCCCTCTGTGCTTGTTGCAAGGTGATGGTAAAGCATGGGATGACTGTTTATGTACTTGCAGGACTCCCATGTTACCCAAACTCTCCTTTTTCTCATCTTCTCCCAAGTCCGGTGGCAGCAATTAGTCCTTGTCAGCTGCTGTTACAAAGCACTCCTAATTCCGAGAGTTCTGCTGCTGTTGCCAAAATGACTTTGCTTTTCCATTTCACTCAGAGGGGCCTGTTCTTGGTTTTTTTTTTAACCACTAATTGCTTGTCATAAGGAATCAATGTCCCTTCCCATTCCTCTGTGTCACAGCCAGATATAGGTTGTTCCTTGCATGCTCTGTCTGTCAGACCTGCTGAGGTCTGCAGTACTGACGTGCCAGAATAGAGTGCATTTTAACATCATCCCCCTGTGGAAAGCCTTTGGTCCAACCCTGTATCCACCTTTTGGACTGTACATGAACACTGTGGAGTTCTTCCTGCTCTCCCTGGGCTGTGCAGCAGTGTAGAAGCTCAGTTATTACAATCCTGTACGGCAGAGACTTTTATTCATCTAGGAAGTGTTTCCAAAGGCCTGGCTTATTTCCTTAGTGGTAATTCGTATCCTGGGAACCTTGCAATTCATTTGACTTTAGCAAGCATCTGTTTGCTGATGCTTGCATTTGGAGATGGAGAAGAGCTTGTGGGCCAGCTTTTGATATTGTGCTGCTTCATGTGGGGAGATGGCTCTTTGTGCTTTCTGTCTAAAGGAGCAGCTGAATTTTGTCTCATTTTGTGCAGTATAGCTGGGTGCACAACTGACTCAAGGCAATTCAAATGGCATTTATTTTCCCGGCAAAGCATTGTATCCATCTTCATTCCCAATGTCTAGGAATCATAGAATTACAGAATGCCCAGAACTGGAGGCTATCCATAAGGACCATCCAGTCCAACTCCTGGCCCTGCCCAGGACACCCCAACAATCTCATCCCGTCCCTGGGAGTGTTGTCCAAACATTCCTTGAGCTCTGGTAGCTTTGGGGCCATGCCCACTGCCGTGGGGGGACTGTTCAGTGCCCCACCACGCTCTGGGGGAAGAACCTTTTCCTGAGATCCATCGTAACCCTGCCCTGACACAGCTCCAGCCGTTCCCTCGGGTCCTGCCCCTGCTCACAGAGAGCAGAGATCAGAGCTGTCCCTCCACTTCCCAGCGAGGAAGCTGCAGACCCTGGTGAGGTCTGACCTCAGTCTCCTCTTCCCCAGGCTGAACAAGCCAATTGGCCTCAACTGTTCCTCATACTGCTTCCCCTCTTGTCCTTTCCTCATCTTCCGGGTCCTTCTTTGGATGCTCTCTAATAGCTTTATATCCTTATGATATTTATATCCTCGTTGTATTATCAGAAAGGTTACTGCTCTTTCCTTCCTGCATCTCATGACCTAACTGTACTGTGCCGTGCATTACACAATCCTGAGGCACACAGCACTACCAATAGCGGTGTTACTTGTTTCCATGTGATAATATTGGTGTTTTCCTGCTAAAAAGTTTCCAAAGGGCCAGGCTTTCATTGTCTCCCATGGCAGTTAGCGCGCATCGTAAATTCTTGAGATAAGTTTCCTTTCTAGAAATTATTTTTCCCACATCAGTCATATACCTTGGATGTGAAGATTGTGCTTTTAGTTCATTCCTTTCTTATATAAAACCTGCTGTGTATTTGCCCAGCTCAGCCCTGGGGCATCCCTGGGCAGGATGGAGTGTGACCAGGCTGGCCAGCACAGTGTGGTGGGAAGGGAAGCACTTCTTGGGGGAAACTGGGCAGGTTGCTCTCTCTCTAGGCAGCTCTCCAACTGCCCCTCCAGGACAGACCGTGGGACTTGATAAGTGAAAGGGAGTCGTTAAATACTGTACATTGAAAAAGCTACTAAATCGTGTATGCTCCCAGTTAAGCCTGGATTTCTTAGTATGGACAAGTTTTTCCTTTGGAGTTCTAATTTTTAGGATTTTAATAAAGTAACACTTCAATAGAAAATAGTTAATAAAGAACTAATGTAGAGTTATTTTAGGCCAAAGTCATGTACACTTCTAATGTAATAAGAACCTTGCATTTTTGCTTAACTTGCTGAGAATTTTTTAACTTTTACATAAGAGATATGCAAGTAAAGACAGACTGGAAAAAGAACTGCAAGTAGATAGGATACATCTCTTCAACTGACAAGTACGCAATCAGCATTGGACATTCAAGGTTGGGAAATAATTCATTGAAGATGAAAAGGATACATCATACAAAGGATTTTTATGGACCAGAAACAAAGGACTTACATAGCAAGGAGGCATAGGAAGGTGGGATTTAACATGAATGTGCAATGACCTTTGAAAATATAACATATAATTTTGCTTTTGTAATTCTATGGGAAGCATTTATGGAGGATTATCCCCAATACTTCTCCAGTGCTGTCAATAAAAAGAAAAGCTGCTGAACATTGATCAACTTGTGTGTCGAGTGAGCTTCTCTAAATCCTCTTGGCCCTGGAATTAGTGAATGTGTGTTAATAAGAGTGTGCATATACAGGGATGCCTGTGGTCAGTTGTATGTGTTGCGAATTCAGACTGTTAGATGTGTATTAAATGTTTGTTTGCAGCCACCCTCAGTATTGTGTCCATGAAGGGATTAAGCAGTAGGGCCGATGGGTTTTCGCCCCAGAGGAAGCACCAGAGTTGTCTGTTTGAAGGAAAATGAAGTTAAGTTGAATCTTCTTACCGAAAGTGTATATAAAGTACATTAAACATCTCATTAAACTATGCATTGTAAAGTTTTATCTAGTTCTTTCCAACTGTCCCCTGGAAAAGTCTGAAATTATTGGCTGTTTAAGCAGATACGAGGTCTTAATGCAACTATAATCATTGTCTTTTTGAAGGTGAAGTACAATTTGGACAGTGCAAATTAACCATGTCTCTCTGCTGCTAACTTTAAAAGGCCCCAAGTATGTCAGATTGTTTAGACAAATAGTAACTTTTGTGCAGGGTAGGTGTGCTTTGCTTGTATTTTGTGTATTATATTAACATTTATAAGAAGGTAGCTTTTGGTGAAGGAAAATGCTTAGTTTGAGAACAGCTTTGCGTTAATACAAATTTTGCTTTTCACTGGTCAGGCTGTGTAGTCGTGCATCTTCTACAAGTGCCTGTTGGGTTTTGAGTTATTATTACAGAGACAAGTTTCTTCTGCTTTCTACAGGCCAGGATCCTGTTCAGACTATTCTTGTTTTTGCAGAGAGAAAGAAAGGAGGATGACCTTTTTGTGATGGTATTAGAAAAGGAGGAGAGACTGGCTCCGAGGACGTTGCTGCAGGAGCAGGTGCAAAGAGCGGTGCAGGCAGAGGTGAAGAACAGGGGCTGAGAATGAGAGAGAGGAGGGGCTTTCAGGGGGAAATGTGGACAGGGATTGGAGGTATCACTTCCAAATTTTTGGCTAGAGTGGAATGTTTGTTTTTAAGGCCAGAAGGCTGCAGCTGAGGCCGTGAAGAGGGGAAGAGGGCAAGTTGGAGGGCAGAAAGAATATCTATGACTTTTCTATTTTTATTACTGGTGC